ACTAGAGTGGAGATGCAACTGTGAAGCCATCTACAAGAAGGGACAGAGCAGACTGTACTTCTTGAGGAAGCTTAGGTCCTTTGGTGTTTGCAGCAAGATGCTGCATATCTTCTATAAGTCTGTTGTGATCTCTTCTGCCATCATCTGCTGGGGAAGCAGCATCAGAGCCAGGGACTTAAAAAACAGCTCTTTGAAGAAACCTTCATAATGAACTACAACAACATTTAATTTCCCTTTAGGATTAATAAAGTATTTTTGAATTGAATTTGAATTTAAATAAATCAATTAAATGGAGCACGTTAGAAACTAAAGCTACTCATTGAAGCTCTTGTCATCTGTTGTGGCTCACAGCCAAAGGATCTAAGCTTTTTTTTTTCTCTTTGAAAGGAGGAGCGAGGGGCGAGACAGTCGCGTAAGTGCTGATGATTGGCTAATGTAAAGTAAGCTTTCATGGTAAGCCAGTAAGAGGCAGTGTTCAGTTTACATACAAACCACAAATGCACACGGCAGCCCTGCTTAAGCAAACTAGCAAATGTAAGCTGCAACAATGGCGGGTCTGGAGGGAAAGATTGTGTCCGGTCTATGTAATTCCACTTTATGCAACAGGCTTGTGGAACCTAGAAACAAAATCTAAATTCATGGACATATTTAAACTTAATGCAAAAATTACTTTCCCTGTTAACTAGTTATTTTTCTAGTGGAGTAACTCAGTTACTAACTGTTACTGAGTTACTCAAAACTAACTAAAGTAACATAATACGCGTGTTGAATAAATCTTAAAGGAGAAACTAGAGACATTTTTCAAAGCCGTTTATTTCACTTTATTCAACCTTTACAAACATTTGTGTTACTGACCCCGTTTTAAACTATCACTGTCACTAATTGATCCAGGTCTGAATGTGCCTGATAGTTTTCGTGATTAGTTTTATGTACTCTTGTCAACAGGCTGCCTAACCAGTGGAATCCCCAGAACAGAACACACTGCAAATACATCAGATGTGTATCATAACCTTTAGGGTGCTGTTATTTGACAGTAAGATTAGGAACCTTTCTTTCTTTTGCTTATGTGGATATTGGATATTACCACATGTGGATATTACCACTAATTGTGATATCTCACTGAGATACATACACCACAACACTGGCTGCTAACTTTGTGTTATTTACACATATATGTTACATATATGTTACATATATATTTTATTGCAGTATAACTTCAGTTATTTGCAACAGTTATTTTTAATCTATTTTTGACACGTAAACACAAAAATGCCAAAGCAGCAGGTTTGTGATTTCGATTTTATTAGATTTGGTCCTTCAACACACAAACATATGTTGAGTCCACTATCAACATATACACCCATTGTGAGTACAGTATAGCTAAAAACAGTTCAAAAACAGTCCAATGTGGTTACATGACATAACATGATCTGTTCTTAACATGCTGCTCACACAACAGGTACTCCGTGAACAACACAGGGATTTCCATTTGGGATCTGGTGGGCTCTTAACTTTTCAACATGAAACAGTAAAGGGACAAATCATTTAGAGAACACATTTGATGGAAAATATTTTATACTTTTTAATGTTTTAGAAGAATCACATGGCGTTGATAAAAATAATGTAAATGTAATAAGCGAAAATCTATGATCCAGTCTAAATTTAAGATTAAACAAATTAACATAGAACTTAATGACAGTCTTGCAGGTCGCTGTGGCTGCTTGCATTGAGGTGGAGCTAGGCCATGGGCCTCTTATCTGGCCTGGTGTGACTGCCTATGTGCCAGGTGGGAGTGTCCCCGGCCCAGCAGGTTGGCTAGGAGCCGCAGTGGTTGAGGATTGGTGTATTGGGGGTGTGAGGCCGTGAGTGAGCCATAATAGGGTCTGGGTAGGGGCTTAGACATTTGGGTATGTGTGAGTGGACAGTAGGAGCCTGGAAGCTGGGAGCACCTGCATGGTTATTTATGTAGCACATTTCTTTCTTTTTTTTTAAATACTTTTTTTTTCGGTACTAGGGGCCGTTATTTTTCATTTTTCAACAGTAGGTAGACAGGAAAGAGGGCAAAGAGAGGGGGAGACATTCGGCAAAGGTCGCCGGGTCCGGGACTCAAACCCGGGACAGCCGCATCGAGGACTATAGCCTCCGCACATAGTCGTGTGCTTAACCCCTACACCACCAGCACCACATTGTATAGCACATTTCAGCAACAGGACAAGTGCTTTACATGATGAATAATGGACATTGCAGTGACAAAAACAAAAAGTACATTGCAGTCACATGATAAAGGAAAGAAAAGTAAAGAAAACTTGAATTAATGAATGCCTTTGATGCTTTCAGGCTTATATTTTTTGTTAAAGGGGACCTATCATGCTTTTAAATCCTTTCTTTTCACACTTAAATCATTCATTTCTGGTCTTTATAAAGTGAAACTGCTATGCTTTGGTCTGAATTCCTTGTTATAGAAGCTCCCCAGGCCCCACTTTTACCTCTGTTCTGAGGTACGTCTGAGGTCAATCCGGTTTGGTGCGCTCTCTTTAAATGCTGTTGTGACACTTAACACCAGACCCCCTCCAGGTCAAAGAGTGTTCCACTTTAAACAGTTCGGCCATTGTTTTAGTTTGATAACAGAGATGCAATTATCTAGATTCATAGAAACAGGACAAAAACATTGCAAAACTGTTTATGTAATAATACTATAAAAAAAACAATGGCCAGGAGGTCACATCAACACACAATAAATTCATGTCTAAAATAAAGTTTGTTGTCATTTTAGTGTTATTGGCAGCTTACTGCTTTGCTGTGCCCGTCGTTTCCATGGACAGAAGTAACTGACCCCTTAATCAGATTAAGTATTTTGGCAAATCCTTCTTTATACTGTTGGAAGTTGGTAAAGGCACATGTTCTTGAGGTGCTTTGCACAGACGAAGAGGAATTTCTCTACTGACGTGGATGCATTTGCATGAAAAATAAAATTCAACCCGGCACTTCAAGGATCTGATGCTGCGGGACGGTGTAATGAAGTACACCCAACAACTGAACATTTAGACTTGCAGCTTCAGCATACTTGAGCTTGGACTACAAAATTGCAGTAAGAAATAAAAATGGCGGATACCCAAAACTGATAGCCCGGAAGTCTATGACCTTGTTTAGCTGTTCCGCAGCAAATACTGTGACATAATAGTTCAAAAAATGTCAGTCAGTCATCAGTCAGTCATTTTCTACCGCTTATTCCATAGTGGGTCGCAGGGAAGCTGGTGCCTACCTCCAGCAGTCTATGGGCGAGAGGCGGGGTACACCCTGGACAGGTCGCCAGTCCATCACAGGGCAACACACAAACAACCATGCACACACTCATCCATACACCTAAGGGCAATTTAGAGACCAATTAGCCAGCATGTCTTTGGACAGTGGGAGGAAGCCGGAGTACCCGGTGAGAACACATGCATGCACGGGGAGAACATGCAAACTCCATGCAGAAAGACCCCCGGCTGGAAATCGTACCCAGGACCTTCTTGGTCCTGGGTACGATTTCCAGCTCCCAGTTTTAGTCTGTAGTTCTCCAGTTGCTCCATTGCTATGCCATGATCAACAGTGTAGATTACAGCGCTAATGTCCAATAATAACAGCACTGTAGTTCTTCCACACTCTGCATTTATGCGAATATCTTTGAACATCTTGCTGGAAGGCACAGAAACCTGACTGGAAGACGTCAAAGAGGCAGGGCATTACAATTTAGGTGGTGATTCCATTGTTTGTCAAACCAAACATTCAAAATCAAAGATCAAAAGGCCACTACACCACTGTGGGTGTATTTCTTACGCAGGCAAAAGAAGTCCAATGTCCAAAAACTTTGAAAGGTTGCTTTTTTACGGTTTATTTATGCAGTTTGGCAAGCAATGAACAAAGATCCATTTTTGTTTGTCTCCTGCTGCTTCTCTTGCTCTGGTAAAAATCCATAGGCCCACCCCAGTGCATGCTGGTCCTATACCAGTTCCTTTACTTATTGGAAATGGCCCCACAGTTCTTCCTAACTGACTTACAAAAGCAAATAACAAAACAAAACAAACATTTAAATAGTAAATAACCTACAAATAACTCCCATAAATAATTGCCCAAAAAACACAAAATAACCACTGCTAACCTTAACTATATTCAAAGTAATAAAGACTAAATAGCTCCAACACTCTGGCCCATACTTGTGCATACAATCACAATTACTTTACAGTTCTTTCAAAGAGGAACTATTCCTTCAAAAAAAATGGCCTTTACTCAGTTCATTAAATGTCACTCTTTCATGACGATGCTTCCTGCAGCAAAAGTTTTGTCACTGGTCTTTCCAAAACACTAGTCTTTGTTTGTAGTCACATACAACGCACCAAACCCTTTGCATCCTGGCTAACACTTAGGTGTTTTGTCATCATCCAAGATCCTTGTAGAAGGGAACCACAATTCCCAAAGGATCATACTGTGAACTAACAACAGATAAAGTCTCCCTTCTGGTCTGTGGACAGTCCTGCACAGAGGTTCTGAACTTGAAGTTGAACACTGTGCAACTGTTGCTGATCCATTTTGAAAGCTTGAATCCTACTTTAGTCAGCCTCTTCACCTTGTGCACTGCATCTTATTCTGAAGCAATCGATTTTAAACAGTCATCCAGATAAAAGTTACCTTTGACGTATCAACCACTTCAGCTGGAAATTGCTGTGCATTATCATCTGCTGTTCTCTGCAGGGCATAATTTGCACAGCTTGGTGAAGATGCTGCCCCAAACAAATTCCCTTTCATCTTGTATTGCTGTGCAGGCTTTGAAACTGAGGAAGTTCACATGTTTTTCTGAGACGTAAACCCGGTGGAACATGGCATCGATGTCAGTCTAAATCAAACGAGAACCCCAACCAGTGACTTTGTAAGATCAGGTCCCTGTAGAAGCTGGTTGTTCAATGATGCTCCTTATATATGTTGTTCCACAATCAAATACGACTGTCAACATGCATTAAAAGTGTCATTTTATATATGCCAGGTACACAAAGTGTTGTCTAAGTAACATGTGGCAGATAATAAAACATTTTTCATATTTTTTGGAAGAAGTGTAATGGCAGTAGTTGGTGCTCAGATTGGCTTTAGGAATCTGCCAGTACTCAAATGTGGGAACAGTTTGAAAAAATGCGATATCAGTACATCCCTAGATGATGGGAAAGCAGTACTCAACACGGCCGAGATATGCTATTTCAATCAGTGGAACTCGTGGAAATATTATGGAATGTTGATATGACTCTGATAAATGTAGATCTTTCTACCTGGCAAATACTGAAATCTGCCTTTTTTTCCTGGCTTTCAGATTTCATCCGCCTCACTATGTTGATAAACCCTGAAGAGGAAGCCCTGATTGGTCGAGTTTTTGAAACCTATCTGACAGACCATCATCATCATGACATTCTCCAGCTCATCACTGATGTAAATGAAGACACTCATGTCTCTGTTGTGGTTAATGCCATGACATTGTTTGAAGCCAATATGGAGGTAAATTTCCTGATTTTTTTTTTATAAAAGCAGAAGTAAATTCATGACCTTTTATAGATTTTTGTTTGGTTTGTTTAAGAATGACATGTTGAGTTACCTGTTTTTTTTATTCAATTTGAGTTTAGCTAAATTAGCTGCTATCCTCTCAGTGGCGTTGGGATGATCTGGATACATCCTGGATTGGTGCACTGATCTTAGCAACTTGCTGTCATTTGCTGATGGCTACGTGTTCTCAAAAAGTAACGAGTAAAAGTTATGAATCCCAAAAGTGGAAATTTAAAAGAAGTCAGTTTCTCTGTCCTATGTTTCAATGACTGAAGCTCAATATTCACAAACACTTAAACATAAACTTCATTTAAGTTGTTCTTATGTTTTTATCAATAATGGCAATCAATCTATATGACATAAAACTTATATAAATGTAACCGATTCTTGCTGCAGACCAAATAACCCCTCGACTCTGCGTTGTGTGATTTTTTTGTGAAGGAAGGCAAGGAGTTTCTGGTCGATCAGACATTTTATTTCCTGCGTGAGAACATAACGGGTTCGTATCAGTGCAATTGGCTTCAGCTTCGCACAGCACACTCTGGTGCAGCTTTCACAGACTGGCCAGATTACTAAAACAAAATTTACAATGTACAATAAAGAATATAATACAAAATGGTGTACCGGCGTGAGAACATAAAGGGTTCGTATCAGTGCAATCGGCTTCAGCTTCGTACAGCACACTACAACAGAGCTTCATGTTAGCATTTAGCTTTCACATGCAGAGTGTCTTTCTCTATTAAACAAACTGAAAAGTGGGGTGATTGTAAGAGCTATGACTGTGTAAGTTTAGCAACTGTACTAAAGAGAAACCTAGGATTATTCTTGTTCTCTTCTATTAATGATGAGAAATAAGCTGTTCTGGCTTGGTGAAGTGTCTTTTTATACAACAGTAGGCTATTTTTCCAGATTAAGTAGGAATCCTCTAGGTGTGTAGAGTGCCATTTTCTCTCCAATTTTGTAACATTTTGTACGCAGTACTTTAAAGCACCTTAAATAACCAGTACCTTAAATAACCAAATTATTTAAGGAAGATTTCCCCTTTGATTACCTGCCCTATTCTAGATTTGATTAAGCTATCCTTAGTAAATGGATATGCACCACTGGCTTTTAAGGTAGCGGTAATTAAACCTTTACTTAAGAAACCTTCACTTGATCAAGATGATTAATAAATTACAGACCTATATCCAATCTTCCGTTTATATCTAAAATTCTTGAGAAAATAGATGCTAATCAAGTGCGTGAGCCTTTACACAGTAATGATCTGTTTTTAAGAGTTTCAGTCAGGTTTCAGAACTCATCATAGCAGGGAAACAGCACTAGTGAAAGTCACTAATGATATTCTTCTAGCCTCAGATAATGGACTTGTGTCTGTTCTTGTCCTGTTAGATCTCAATGCTGCATTTGATATAGTCAATCATAATATTATCTTAGAAAGGCTGGAATATGCTGTAAGGATTAGGGGGACAGCGCTAGGCTGGTTTAAATCTTATTTGTCTGACAGATTCCAGTTTGTTCATGTAAATCACCTTTAAACTCCAGGGTTAATTGTGGAGTACCACAGGGTTCAGTACTTGGGCCAGTTGTCTTTACTATATATATATATATATATATATA